CCTAAGATAATTCTCTTCAGTATATATCTTTTGGCGGCATATGATGTGACTTGGCAATATTCTTGCAGATGAAAGCACTTAATACTGCAGACCCCTAAAAATACAGTTCCTCTTTTGCAATGAATAAGAAGCATAGGATTTGACAATGATGAGATTCTGTCTAAAAGTAAATATCCCAATTAAAACACTGTATTAGACTTCAAAAATTGAGTTTCAACAGCTGTGAAACATATCCCAAAACTACTTACAGTGACTTTTGCAATCTGCCTCAGAAGTGCTGGAGAAAACAAGTATGACTGTTTATGAAGCAGATGATATTTCAAGAAAATCTAATTTAAAAAAAAAAAGAAAACATACCAACTGACAGAAATGAATAACCAATGGTAAACGTTATCATTTTGAACAGAATGTTTCTTATGAAATACAGCACATGTGTAAACCATTAGTTCTGCCTTCATCACAGCAGGCTTGGGAAAGAATTGCAGATTGCTTTATAAAAAAAATATTATCCCTGTCATAAAATAAACTAAATAACAACATCACACTTACAGAAGATCTTCCTGCCAAGGATGAAGATGATGATAATCATAATGCTCCTTATAGGCGTTATCTAAGTCTAATCACATCCCTACAAGGGCAGTTAGTTGTTATGGTATTCTCTACGTAAATGGTCAAATGAGAACAAATAGGTGTGCGCCTCTAGAGCTCACTGTGAGTCAGTGAGTTGGTAGGAATACCACTCTGGAGTCCCGACTCCCCTGGTTTTGCTCTCCCAGCCGGATTATTAAACTACTATACTGTGCGGAATCTACCCAAGTGCAGAAGCATAAGAAATATAAACCAGCTCAGATTTTCTGAAAGTTACACCAAGGCTTTCATTAATAAGAACTAATGATATAGATAGTCAATAAGAAGGAAATTAATGTAGTCCTGACATCCTTTCCCACTTCATGTCCCTTGTACTGTGGAAGCGGGACATGATCATGCTCTCCACTGAGAATTCCAAACAAGCTCTGAAGGGATGGTCTCATACAATTAGGAACATATAGATTTTAATACTATGATTAATTCAATTTCTTAATGTTAATCGCTAAATGTTTTTGCTAGAATCCCTTTTTTTCTATCAGACTTCAAAACTTTGTACAAAGCAGGCAAATATCCTCAACTCCATGCTACAGATGGGGACAGCGAGACAAAGAAGCAAAATAACGTAACGATCCCCCCCCAGCCACTGCCAGTGCTGGGAATGAACCAAAGGCGCAGGAAGCTTAAGGCAGAAGACAAAAAAATGTAAACATACAAGAGAGGCTTTATGCATCCATATAGGTAGAAAAAATAAATTCATAAGGGACTAATAAACAACAATTTAAGAGACAAAAAAGCATCATGTTGGTAACACTAAATTCAGAGGAAGACGGTTCAGTGGTAACTCAGCAATTACAGCAACTAAGGCTGGTGCTGAATTTGATGTATATACCCTTAGCATGGGAGGTGGACATAAGAGGTGAAATGAGAAGAAAGGGGGTTTTATCCGCTATAAATGCAAATCCCAAAAGTCTCAAAGGGTTTTGAACATAATAGGCTACTAGTCTCATACCTTCTGCTCCGTATGCTTCACTTGAACACTTTATACCTCTTTTTCTTGTTTTTCCGAGTTATACTTACTCTGTGTTTCTTTCATTCTTTCTTTCACTCAAATTTCATTAAATTGAAAACATTAGCATGGCATCAGCTGTTAAAAGTTTCTTACTTTTTTCTTTTTGGTTGATTCTCTTACGTTTTATACTTTTAACAGCTCCCTTACCTCTTATATCCAATTTTTTTTTTTTTTTTTTTTTAATATACAGATACTCAGGTTTCTATTTTTAAAGGTGTTTACAGACATCAGGAACATAAATCATACTGGCAATTGTCAAGCACTAGGCATTTAAGCCTTTTCGGTTTCTCTGACAATCTTATCCTTCAACTTTCAAATGCCCTGATAAGTCACTACATTGATTTCTTTTTTAAGCATGAATACACCATGCTTTCTCAAACTCCACATGGCACAGTGAATAGAAGGCAATCACCTGAGCCTTTTGTGAAGCAAGGTGGTACACCTTAAGGGATGTACCTTGTTCTTTTATGTTTAAACCAAAGAAATTAGAGCATTTTCTGAAGTTTCCCTTTCACTAAAGTATGCCCAGACAAAAGAAAAAGAACACGCACACACAAAATACACAAAAACCACCATCAGCCTTTACCACAAAAATATGGTGTTAGACTTGTGGAATAAAGGAGAAGGTATACTAAGTGAGCAAATAGATATATTTACTTGCACTCATAACTCAATCACAGCTAGGAGTGAACAATCGTCTGCAGAAAGACCAGATGTCAGGGCAACTGGGAAGGGTCAGGATGCCGCTACAGAAGGGCCCTGAAAATTCCTGCCAGATTTGGATTACTATTTTAGACATCCTCCTAGGAGTCCTTCTGGTAGAAACGATCCTGAAGAAACTTTCTAAGGGAAGCTGAATGTTAAAAGTCCACTAGCTTTTGACTGGATTGCTTCTAAGGCTCAACACTCAACATTACACTCTTTTGCCCTACGCTGCCACAGATCCTAAGTGCAAAGGCTTTATGAAGGGTTGGGACAGGGATGCAGACAGTGTCCATACAGAGGAAAAGAAAACCATGAAGAAAGAACTGTTTTTCACCAAAAATCTGTTCCTCCACATCTAAATTTGAGGAAAGGCTGATATGAAAACAACTGACAATAAGTCAGGATTGATCTCTCAAGCAGTATGAGACAAGCATGACTTTCTGAGCTTTTAAAAGTACTTCTGAGCTGTAACATGTTTTTGCTGCAATAATAAAAAGTCAGGCTGTCTAAATAATTGAATACAAGTAGTTCCGTGGTAATTTTGCTCTAAGAAATATCATCCCTTCCAAGCTCTTCTGTAGACTTCTCTAGCATATTGCTGACTTTTTACTCACTCTATATATTATGCTAAAAGGATCATTTGCAGAACTTCAATTTTTGCTCAGAGTATTCCACAGCCAGTAGCTTCTTACCCATTTAGAATTATACTCCCTTTCATTGTGGGAACTGTATAACATTCTGCATTTAACACCCAAAGAGGTAAACCTTCCTATATTAAACACCTAATCCCAAAGCAGCACATTAGGGATCAAAAGTGATGAGTAGTATATCAGTTTAGTCATTTTCCAAGATAATAATTTTACCTGTTTCTTTGCCTTGTGGTCCCTTTTGAGTGATATTTTAGCTATCTCCACACATCTGGATTATATTTCAATTTGGTCAGTGTGCTACACGTACTGAACTGAGAGCTTTTGTATATGTGTTACCGTATTTGAAATGTACATTAGAAAAAAGTTATACTGTATACTCACACATCATAATTTCCCTTTAAGGCCTCAAACCTGTTCTGAGTGGTAATCATAGCAATTTTACTGAAAGGTAACGCGAAGCATAAAGCGATTATGTGACTTACTCAAAGTCACTTGGGAAATCTGTAACAAAATGGAACCAAACTCAAACGCCCCATGGCATCCATCTGCTAGGAATAACACGGCACTGACAGGACACTCGTGCTTTTCTGTAGTGACAGCTGGAAACACAGTAGGATAGTCCACAGCATCTCACATGGCACCGGATACTTCTGGTTTGCATACTTGTGCATAAAGTGAGGTGCGTATTTCTGATTATGGACTGGAATTGCTTCCTAGACCTCCTAAGCCAACTCCATTTCATTAAATAGACAACACTGTTTCCAAAGTTAAGATTTGTCATCATTCAAGTAATGTTTGCAATTTACACTTCCTCATTTGCAGTAGAAATCTTCTAGAAATGAAAGTGGACTGAGAAATAGCCTTTTCTGGTCATCACAATACAGGAGGGTGCCTAGCCAATCTGAAGCCTTCAGAGACATTTTTTGGCAACAGAAGTTTTTCAATTATATCTCCTGGAGCTTTATGCATTTCAAATACTTCTCTTCCTTCTGTTGAATTTCTAATAGATATTACATGCCTTTGTCTCCATGTCCAGAATCCTCATGCCAAATTAGACTCTGAAAGAATCTCAGGTTTAGTTGTTTAAGATGATAATGTAAACACAACTTCTTTGCTTTTTTTTTTTGCCCCTTTTTTTTTTTTTTAGACTCATGTAATTCAAGTGAATCAAAACAAAACACAGAAACCAATGGTCAAGTGAAAATAGAAAATATCATAAATTTTTTTGTCATGGAATCCTCTTTGTTCAGCTCTGCTTAACAGACCCATTGACCATACAGTGGTAATGGCTGGATTTCAACCAGCTGACCAGTTCATGGACATTTTGTAGCTTGGGTTCTGATCGGAACCTCACTGTTCAACTGACAGCTTCAGGTATTTTTGGAGCATCCCCTCTGCATGAACATGTTCAAGATAATCTTCTCAGCTCATGACAATTTATGTTAGTAACCCCATGGAACCACTCTAACTGCCTTCTAATCCCCCTCAGTCCTTGATCCATCAGCTACCATTGATAGGTCATCCTTTATGCAATATAGCATTATCCATTTTGGAAATAATTTTCTCTAGAGTTTTTTTACTTATCTCAAATCCTTGCAGCAGTTATACTTTGAAACATTTTTGTGTGTTTAGGTAATTTATATTCTCCACAGCTTCCTTAGTAACACAGGTGCCAGTTATATCAATTATATCTTAATTAACAATAAAATACGAGCGGAATTGTACAGTCTGCACTATTATGTTCACAGTATTGTTATGGCACTGCATCATTACTGCACACGTGGAAACACCTTGCAGGACTCCTGCCTACCAATATAAAATTAGCTTTCAAGATTCAAGTGTGTTATATATAAGAAAATATATCTCTTACAGTAAATTTCTTCTGCAGTGTAGCACTAATTCATTCTTAAATAACATTTTCTCCTGTGAAGTAGAATGTATATTATTTAGAGGAAAACAAGAGAGAGAAATAAGCAGCATATCTTTACCCTCCGCACATCTTTGCCAAATGTTTCGCTGTAGCTAGTGCCCAGTATTTCAAACTGAACATAGGGGTTGGCGCCATCTTCTCTGAACTCCATAACACCAGTAAGCCCAGTTATATGGCCCTAAGGAAATAAGTTTCAGAAATTTTAGAATAGAACAAATTTGCCTTTATAAACACTCCTCTTCATTAAAGGTATGTCAAATCTTCTTTGAAAATGTTTACAGTGAACTTAAATGGGGCAATTACATGTTCTTCAATAGCTCAAACAATGTCAAACAAAACACCTTTTTTTTTTTTTTTTTAAAAATTGTTTTAGCACTTCAGCACTAACACATCCACTATATTTTGTGGAGAAAAGCCATCAGGTCTTCATCTTTCAGATAGACAGACAGGAAAGAAAATGAGGATCGTCAGGCAACAGCCTTTTCAGTGTAACCAAGGGCAGCAAGTTCAGTGCCGGGGTTCAATACAAAGGCAAGAACTCCAAGTCCAAAAGAAAGACTATGCCTGCTGTGCTTCCAAGAGAGGCATGAAGAACAGATAAAATTTTAAGTATTATTAAAACCTCTCTGTGAAAGTATCATGGAGTTTGATTTTGGGTTTGTAGCAAAGAGGCTTGAAATGACACTAAAGTTTGAATTAATTTAGCAACAAAGGATGGCGTCATTAGGACTGGTCAGAGCATAACATAACATTTCATCAAATTGCATCATTTTACTAGAGGAAAACCATTTCATCACTATATATGGGGAAACTGTTTGCTTGTTCTGTTGTTGTTGTTTTTTTCCCCAAATAATTGCTAAAGTTAGTATAGTAAAAAATGAATTTTTTTTTCCACTAGTATTTGTGGTCAAATAGCTTTCATACCAGAAGTTACCATGCACCTATAAAGCCACAGGACCATCCATATCTGAGTAATTCAACATTCTGCAAGACAATGTAACTGTTAGTGACAACTTAGCTAAATCAGATCCCTTTTGCTCTGGGCTACAGTACTCAAATAGATACTTACCAATGCTCAGCTAACTTACAAAGGTAGTTGAGATGCAGTAAATGGAACATAAGTCTTAAACCTTATCGTTGGTTGGACCCTTGAGCTTCTTAAGTTCTTTTCTTTTGGGGAAATTGTTATGATGCATGCACACATCAATTTGTATTCCTAATTACACTACCTCCACAGAAGGCAGCTATGAGAACAATGGAAGCAGAACACACACCACTGGAGCAACACTGTCGTGTGTGTAATTTGTTTGTAATAAATTATTTGCTTGTTTAATAGCTGTAGATCATTCCTGGTAGTTGTAAATCACTTGCTTGTAATAAATCAAAGAAAAGTTGAATAGAGGTCAAAAACCTCTTCAAGAGCTAACCTCAGGTAGAAATGAAGCAACTCTGTCAATTGCTTACACAGTTGTGGTTTGTCTGTTCTCACCTTCTTAATAGTCTCTAGCATGGATCGTCCTCCATTCCAAGGTTTGGTGGATTTCCTCATGCAGTTCAGACTTGCCATGCTGTGCCATTTCCTGTCCTCCAGTTTTCTGTGGAAAGCATTGGCCAGCATGAGCACACTGTCATACAGGTACAGGTTGGAAACCTGCAAACAATAATAAGAATTGAACCTCTTTGTTTATTTGAGCATCCTTTCAAAGAAACTGTAAAATACAGCAAACAAAGAAAACAAAAGCCAACATAAGAAAAGACTAAAAGCTGTATATGCTCTACATGTTCAACAGTCAAGGCAATTCAAACAAATACCAGTGCTCACTCTCACCCTCTTTCCTGCTTGGCATCTGGGCCCTTCTGGCCAAGGGACTCTGGCACACTTGCATTGCCTGTGCATTATCTACACCACTGCAATGCAGTGCCGGAAAGATCACAGTTCAGATATAAAGTCAGTGATAGGAGGAGTACAGCTATCCATCAATGGAAGACAAGGATTGCTACTTTGTCAGTCCTTTCAGCAAGGAGAAAAAGACAGAATGGAATTAAGTTCTTGTTCTTTTTGTTCATTTGAGCAATCTCCTTGGTAATTTCTGGCACAGCAAACTATAATACGAATGCAACTATTTAGAACAGAGGGAGGAGAAATGACAGTATTATTTTGGTCTTATCATCTCTCTCCACCAAATATACAGGAGACTGCTTACTATTCTACTTTCTCTGGAGCTATTGATTTTAACTTCTTTATTCGTCAATTTACACAAGGGATAAAGAACAATAATTGATAATAAAGGCTCTAGTAAGAACACCATGCTAGTAATGCTCAACTATGTATTTTATTTTTAAAACCAAGATGGCACTGGTAATACACGATCAGATCTTTGACATGCAGCAGTATCCACTGCAAGTGGTAAAACTTAAGCAGTGGAAGCTGAGAGAAGTGATTTTTTTATTTTTTTTTTATTTTTTTTTAGGGAAAAAAGGTACTCTTCACCTGTTTCCAGAGTTTATAAGCACTCTTCTTCAAACCTGTGCAGATTCAGGTGTATTGATTTACTCTTTACTAAGGTCAAATCTCCAGTTAACATCAGTTGCCAGATACAGCTTTTCAAAAAATTATTATTAAAAAGATATTTTCCTAGCTGAAGCCTTTACCTGTGGTCATCTGCAAATTTGCCATTTATCTTTTGAATTTCTCTAATTCACCATAGAAGATGGTACCTAGAAACCAGGAAAGGGCTACATGTGGAAGTCAATGCAGATGCATAGCTTCTATAAAAATGTTGCTCAATTGTGAAAGCTTAAACATATATTACGGTTGCGTCACTGGCTCCAAGTAAACTTCTAATATCTTAAGATCCTAATCTTCAGACACAAAATGTTTCATTTTCCATAATCTGGAGTTTGATGTAAATTGAGAATCTATGCACTTTGAAAAATCCAGTATAAGTAAATCTGATCAAAAGATATATAAACAAAAATTCATTTTGAAAGAATCAAAATAGGAAGAAAATACACAAAAAGAGGCTGAGGAAACCCAGTTATTTAAGTGACTAAACATAAAAAGAGATCTTGATGCAAAAATAATGCAAAACCTGAGATACTATCACTGAGAATCTCTCCTATCTTGCATTGCCATCTTGTTTCCCTCCTTTTCTTTCCAGCATTCCTGAACAAGCAGTTGACATTCCCTATGTTTGCTATTTTATGCAGTTAATTCTTTTCCTTTTCAAAGAGTTTCCAAAGTAGCTACTTCCAGATTTCCTCTCTTTTTAAGAAAAGTAAGTAAAGAGTTAACAAGTCCCAGCAACTAAGTCTCTTCTGCTCATTTACCTTTCTCTCCCTATTCTGCAGATATTTTCTAAACAACTTTCAAATAAAGCAACCAAGCAAATCCTTGTTATTCAACACGGCGCTTCTCCTCCTCTCTGATAAGCTACTCTGCACAAAAAAAAAGAATCAAAACAAAACCCCAAAACCACAGAATAAACTACCCCAAATGACACACCATGAAAGCCACTTGCTTAGAAGTAGGCTTTACATGCATAAGGAAAAACGCCATTTCTTATGTGCCGTCATGATCCTCTGACTCCCCACTGAATTTGATTTTACACCCTCACTTTTAACTCACAACTCATTGCCTGTTGCCCTGGAACAGCCACAAATCAGAAATGCTTTGTATTTTCTCAGTATGCCATTGCTCTTTTTCAGTTCTGGAAAACCGCAGCCTCATTCCCAAAAACAGTTTACTTGGTTTGCTAGCAGAAAGCTCTGGGGTAAAATACAAGATGTACTGGGGTACATTGGTTTCCTTCTCTTTCTACTTGTTATGCTCTTAGAGGAGCAGCCACGGTTCTGCATGTGTAATGGACTGAAGGCTTGAGAGGACTCGTGTTGAAGACCTTGGCTTACATGACCATGCATCCAACTCAAATTACCCTATGCTGTACAGCAAAACAAAACAGATACTTATTTATCAACCTAATCCATGTATTTCAGTTAGACCTATAATGGATTTTATATCCATATTATTTCGTTGTTTTATTTTGGAAGAATGATATAAACTGAGTGACAGCAAGAAAGGGAGTTTCATACTCTTGAGTATTTACTCCAGTAAAAATGGCGTACATGCATTGCTACATTTTACACCCTTTTTACCCCCTACTCACTAAAGAGTCAATATTCTATGGAAAAGTAAGTTGAATTTTATTCACACTATCAATATTTCCTTTTTAGAATAGAAAATATGCAAGTGAGGAAGGGAAAAGGAGAAGGAGAAGAAGAGACACAACAGCAAAATCTCCACAACCGAGGGTGGATTTATAATATTGAAAAAATAATTCTCTTTTTTTAATATTACATTTGTTCAGACTGCTAGTTAAGTAATAATTTAACACACAGTGTAGAACTCCACCCTAATAAGGGCAGAACCCTTTAAAACTTACAAAGCATGACTCAAAGCATACAGTTTTGCACAGTGATCAAAATTCAGTGTATAGACAGTGTGTTTATGTAAAACAAAAGAAAGCAAGATGTGCACATGATAGTATTGTTTTGGTAGTCCCTCTAGGTCAAGAATCACTTCTTTGAATTGCAAAAAATAGTCAAGATCAAAAATATCCTGGTAACTTGGAAAATAACGTCCTTTTGATCCTTCACAGTGTGCAGAGCAAAACCCAGCTCCTGAATGTCCACAGTAGTATAGAGATTGAATGCCTTTGCCTAATCCCAAATGGGAACTAGCTTTATGCTAGAAAACAGAATTATGGAACCAGGTCTAATCTGATGCCCAAGCAGTGTTGTGTGAATGTAACCAAACAGTTGATTCCTTCAATACCTACAGTAAGATATATTATTAAATTACTGAGAGGTATATTTTTATCTTTTTTTTTCCTAATTCCTTTCTGAGGTAGAAAAATAAGAATACTTAAACACCTTCAATATGCTCCTCTTCTCAAAATCACGTTCACTATCTACCTGAATTCATCACTATGTGTGTATTTGTTTGTATAAAAAAGTTACTTAAAACCAGACACAGAAATTCTGGCCTGATCTCACAGTAAATCCAGGGCTATAACAATTTCCTTTATTTTCTATTATATTCCTTTTAATGCAGAAAAATCTCTGCATGTGTTCTAGATTGTATTTGCAACAATTTTGCAGTAACCTCCAGAATAGCGGTGCTGTGAAAAGAAAAAGGGTTCAGCGGACAAAGCCTGTATGCACTTGTTACTGCAACTGCACACGTATTTTAATTTCCAGCTAACTATCAAACTCCCTCTGAATACAACCATGACCTCTCAAAGGGAATTTGTGAGACACCCGAGGGATCAGCTATACTCTGTTTCCACCAGCGCTGTCAGAGGCATGAGAAAATAGTAAATTTAAAAATTAGTCATCAGGTAGCATTCAGAATTGGTAGCAAAGCAAGAAAAAATAAGGCAATGTACTTGGCTGCTTTGGGTTTTCCAAGCTCTGGAGCATTCCTCATTCCCTCTATCTATATATTCAGAAGGGGAACAGAGGAGGGAAGGACATATATCTGCCTGCAAGGATTCCCTTTGTGTAACAAAAATTCCTAGATTAGAACAAAGTGTTTCATTCAGTCCTGTTTGGAGGAAGAAACAATAATTTTCAGTTCCTCTTTCACTTCATTGCCGAGAGCTGTAAGAAATGGAGGTATTGTGACTGAAATGCTTTTTGATCTGTCTGCTGTAAGAATGATGGTGATTATTTCACCAACATATTAAAGAGTTTGCCCTGTATGTGAGTAATTTTAGGCATGTTCTGGTATATCTTCAGAAGATTATTCCAGACTTTATGAACGTTTATTTTGCAATGAAGAAAAATTCCACCATACGCTAGTAGAGCAGAAACTTCTGATGAGAATGGAAATCTTT